ACATAAATATTGCTCTTTGTGGGGAAGTTGCATATTTTTGCATGCTCATCGTTGATACATCTGGTGTGTGTTTTTTGGCAATGATAAACCAAAACCACAGGTGACACCAGTGCATTCATCTGCAGGTTGGACACTTTTATTCATATTCAAAAACTTTAGCAATTAAGGACACTAGGGACATGACCGCCATCCCTCACAGTCACAGGAAGCAGCAGAGTCCATGAACCTCCAGATGGCTTCGTCTAAAAAACAAATTTGGTTGTAAAGTAGTACCTGTCACCAAGACAGACTGAAAGAAGCACTTGAAGAAGAGGAGAAGCAAGTGAAGTTTCTTTTTTTTTAAAGAGCCACCTTAGCAGTGAATATTATGTCCTTTGTATAAAATTCTCCCAAATACGTGGCACCATAATGACAGGAATTTGGGTAAACACAGTGACAGCTATTCGATTCAAGCAGCAGGAGGGAATTCACAAACCCACTTCTCTGATTTCAGCCTGTCCAACTGAGCTGATTAAAAAACGAGATCTGAGAGAAACACAGCACTCAGCAACATAGAGGTCAAAGGAAAGTGGAGCAGGAGAAATAATCTGCAAAAAAGAAAAATCAGACTCAAAAGAAACCCATGGCAACTAAGTGACACGAGGGAAGGAAGCTGGGTTCATCAACAAAAGAGGGAGTGACATTTAAAGAAGTGTCTGACTGAGTAAACAGCAGCACCAGCAGTCACATACCTGTGTTTAAGTTACGTGAAGTGGCAGAGATGTGCTTAGAAGAAGAACAGCTAGGTCTCAAAGAAAGCGACACAATACACTGTCTTGTTTTTTGGGTAAGGGAAAGAATGAGGTAAAAGTGAGTTGCATGCTTACTGTATGCAGAAATATACAGTTTATGTTTTCATTGTTGTAAAATATATTTTAACAGCAATAATTACAATGTTTTAAGACAATGGATGTGAAGCAGCTAAATATCATGTTTGTCTTCAGTGTGTTTTGTTTCTGTCACTCTTATACTTATTTTCAACTTGGAAAGTACTATTTAGCAGCTCAACACAGTCATTAATATTTCAGGCGAAGGTGTCAGGATTGGGGAAAATAGGACCCAAATGCAGTCAAAAAGACAAAAGGTCTAGTAACAAAAAGCGAGCTTTAATAAAAAAAAGCCGATGACAAAGAAAAACAGGAAACAATTTAACATCAACAAACCGGGGAGCACGAGAAACAGCAACAAACTTGGGCAAGGGCCCGGCAGAGGTCGAGGAGGGGGTCTCGGGCGGACGGCCTGGGGGTACGGCAGAGTAGGGGTGAGGGCCGCGGCGAGCAAAACAGGATTCGTAGCCGGCGGGACCCCCAACGGAACAGGACATGGTGTCGGCAGGACCCCCGGCGAAGAAGGGGCTTGAGTCGGCGGGACGGCCGACAGGATACGGGGGGCAGAGTTGGCCGGGGAGCCGGAACTGGAGCAGGAACCATGGTTGCCGGGCACGGGCTGGTATCCTGGCCTTGCATCTCCTAGAAACCTTTTGGAGGCTCTGTGGACCTCCCAAGGCCAGGCGGGATCCCAGGAAGGGGTTTCGAGGCTTGAGACTGGCACTCAGGGCTGCTTGGAAAAAGTCTAAGCCACTCAGGCAACAAGCTCCTAAGCCACCTCCATGCGTGCCGCCTTAAGGGCAGCGTCTTTGGCCCCTCTAGAGGAGGCTCTCATCCACTCATTAAAAATGCACTCAAGAGTGTACTCAAGAGTGTACTTAAGCTCGTACATCGCTTTTAAAAAACAGCTGGGTCCATAGTGGTTCGGTCGTACTGTCAGGATTGGGGAAAATAGGATCCAAATGCAGTAAAAAAAAGACAAAAGGTCTAGTAACAAAAAGTGAGCTTTAAAGGTGGGTAGGTAATTTTGGAGAAACCGGCTCGAGTGTGCTAAAATTTGAAAATACACAGCTGGAAAAAATCTGCCACTTCCTTACAGAGCCCCTCCTCCAACACACACGAACGCACACATGACCAATGAGGGCACGAGATAAGTTTGTGCACAGATGGAAGGCTGACAGGCAGGTAGGCCATCCAGTTACTTTAGCCGGGCCGGCTCAGATGATTGGTCGTGCGTTTTACTAGGGGTGCACCGAATGGGAAATTCTTGGCCGAAACCGATACCGAAAATAGGAAACAGTTGGCCGAAAACCGAATGCCGAAAATGATTAATAGAAATATATATATATATAATGTATACATTTTTTACCAATGTTGTTCAGCTACCTGATTATGGAAATAGACATGATTATGGCAAAACTTAACTTAAATAATAATCACTATTATGGGTCCATAAAACATTTATTCAGCACTTTTGAATGCATACAGTACATTTATATATGTCATGTATTATTGCTAAAAAACATTATATCGCAGTCTTAGTGTCGCCAACTCGTTTCTAATATGCAAAGACAACAAATGCGTCTATGATGTATTTTCGATCAGACGAGATCTCTCTCCCCCGTCTGTGTGCGAGGGGGCGGGGCAGTTTACACACACGCAGCTGCTACATGCAGCGGAGCACACTGCGGAGATGGCGGAGAGAACGCGCTCCGAGGTGTGGTTAAACTTTACCCGTCTCGATGTGGAGAATACTTGTTACCATAAGTGCAATAAGAGTTTAGCATGTAAGCACGAGCAATTTGTCTAAACATTTAGCAAAAGTGCACCGCATGCAGACGGAGGAATGTACCGGGTTCGACCGTCTTTCTAGCAGCTCTGTAGCCCCATCCACGAGTAACGTTTCCACGTCAGGTGTTATGTATGCTAGCAGCAACACAGAGAGTTAACTACATGATACAAACATGGGTTAATGATTAGAGGTAACTGAGTTATTTAGTTTGTTAAAATTTCAGCTATTCTGTTTACAGTCTGTCATCAGATTATTTAATACGATTTGTTAAAGGCTCAGGGCAATCTCGATGACAAAGGTCAATGTTCCCCCCCCCTGTGAGCCAGCCGCGAGCATGGTCGCCGCGTCTTTATTACGTCATCACAACAACACGTTAGATTACCAACGTAAACCTGTTCTGACATTCGGTGATATACAGAGAAAGCCGAAAGGGCCTTTTTAACCATTTTCGGCCGATAATTTTCGATGGCCGAATATTCGGTGCATCCCTACTTTTTACAGCGCTACGGCTTCCACAGATGATGGAATTTTATGGATTTTTTGTCAAAGCACTTAAGATATTCACTGGTTTCTCAAACTTAGCTACCCCACCTTTAATTAAAAAAAGCCGATGACAAAGAAAAACAAGAAACAACTTGACATCAGCAAATCGGGGTGCACGAGAAACAGGAACAAACTTACAGACAGGAACAGGCAAGTAACATGGACGAGAAAGACGACGACCGAATATCAAGCAAAAGGGAAGATGAGATTAATTACACAGACGGGTAATCACAAGACACAGCTGGGGAGGGGAGGTAGAAACACAGGGGGGGGGCAACAGGTGAACACAATGAGACAATCAGACACAGGAGGGCCAACACAGGAAGGAAGACCAGACACAGGGAGAACAGAATTTCAAAATAAAATCATGAATAAACACAAAAGGCCAAGGGGCCCAAAGTATCAGGGGCTCGAGAGACGCAAACTTAGTATGAAGACTAAAATGACAACAACAAAGATATTTAAAATGACTTCAAAAAGGTGTAAATCAACTGCAAAGATACACGAAATAACTACAAATAGGGGGAAAATAACTACAAAGACACAAAAACCTGCTACATTGACACAACCAACACAAAGAGATAACACATTTATATAAAGAGAAACAAAAAGATCACACAGAGTGACAAAGTGGAATATAGACCACAAAGTGACACAAAACTACTAAAATGATTTACATACTGACCTCAAAAGACAAAATGTCCACACAAAACCACAACAAAGGGACACATAACAAGCAAAAACATACAAATGAAGAACACAAAGAGACATTAAACAACTACAAAGAAGCACATGATGACAACGAAGAGACACAAATTGCCAAAAAGAGAAACAAAAAGACCACAAAAAGATACATAGAGACCATAAAGAGACACCAAACAACTACAAAGAGACACATTACAACTACTAAATGACACAGAACAACCATAAAAACACATGTAAAGACCATAAAGAGAAACAAAACGATGACAATGAGGCATTTATTGACCTCAAAAAGACACAAAAAGCCCACACAAAACCACCACAGAGTGACACATAACAACTACAAAAACACACAAAATGACCACAAAAATACACGTAGCCACTACAAAGAGACCCAAAACAACAACAACAAATGTAAAAGCATCTCTGTGCGTGTGTGTCTTGCTCCATGTGTTGAAGAGCTGGTTTTGCATGTCTGCCCAGTGGCTCTGACACTCAATCCGCCCATGGCTTCGCTCTGCAGCACAATTTCTCCAAGAAAATCATAAACTTTCTACCCTTTAAGATATCTGGGACTTGTGGGGATTTTCTTTATTATTTTAAGTTGTGCTAAAGCCTACCCGGGTCACTCTCTTTTTGTTCACTCTGCTATGAAGTATATTTTCACCTCTTTTGCAGCCTCTGTTCTTGTCGGTCTCTCTCACAAAACTGCCTTTCCTTCACGGATGGCAGAGCACCGTGTCAGCTGCTGTCACACGTCTCAACGTTCAGCCTTCAGTTATCTATTTACTGTATACTGATGGAAAAAATAAACTATTTTTGGAAGCAAGGAAACAATAGATGGGTACTTTCCACCAAGGTTGTCAGTTTTCAAAAACCTGACAGTGAATCCTGCAGCTTGCCATTCAAATTGGACATTTAAAGTCCTCAGGTACTTCAAAAAAAGCTACATGGAAATATGTGTATAATGTGGATACATACATACAAGGAAATGTGATTGGTATGGAAACAGGATTACCAGGAAATCTACAAATCCTTAGGATTCATTCTCTGGGAACCATGTGTGGGAATCTGACGTCATTGTCACCTGATGCGGTCACATGACCGGTGACCGAGTAAACAGGAAGCCATAAAAAGTTTGCCGTCAGTTCAAGAAAGTCTCTCTTGGCTGCTTGTCACTGGTCTTCTCCCTCTCACAAAGGTAGGAATAACAGTTTTAAGGTGGTTTTATGTTCTTTTAAATTAACTTATGCAAGTGGCTCATTTAGTTTGGTTTTATTAGGGCGAGTGCAAGACGAGAGTTTACCATTGACGGAGGAAAACTCTCCCGACAGGCACAAGACCGGGTCTGTTATGAGTAATTTGCTTTTAAATGGCGTTTTTAAACCGAAGTTTTTAATTGTGTTTTTAAGCAACTTATTTATGTGTTTTTACAGAGCTTAATGTACACAACCGGCCCAGCTACCCGGGATATTAAGTGACCATTTCCCCGGCAGGATTAAGCCGAGTTGGAAACCTACTCTGTGGAAGTATGCCTTGTTTTTAACTCTTTCATTTTATATTGAGTTGGTGAATGAGGCTGGCAACTAACATGTTATGTTGTTTCCTTTTCAAAAGGACCAGGCCAGCCACTGTCCTATAGTGTTTCTTGTGTATTTTCTTACCCATTTTCTTCATGTGCAGTGTATGGCAGTATAATCATTTTAATATTTGTGTCGTAGGTTGCGCTCCTCTGCGGCGTAGGCCTGGGCCCGGGTGGAACGCTGCCTGCCTTCAGTGTAGGGACTGCACGGTGTGACACTTTATTTTCTGTATGCTAAATAACTCACTGTTATTATTTTATAGAGATTGTGGTTTAAATATTGCATGCTTATGTTGTTTTGGTGTGTGGCTTTTCTTGTTTTTGTCCCTCACGATTAGCAGGCACTGCAACCCAGCGGACCGGGCCTGCCCAACTGAGGAGGGTAACTTATATATGTATTGAATTGTATTTGCCATTTTTATACTGGACATGAATCGACATTTTAAACTGTTTCCAAACACTTATTAAATAAAGCTGTGTTATGTTTTTGGAATTCATGCCTCTGTCATAATTGGACCGATTAAGGGAAGCTTTAAACAAAGCGATCCACGACTTACATTTAGGGTCCACGGGTTCCTCCTGCCCCTTAGCAGGAGGTGGCGTTGTCAAGTACTAGCTTTACATGTGGCAACCTCAGTCACGGTTACCACACATGCATGTCATGACACTTGCCATCTATACAGAGAGGTGAAGTCCCTGTGCTCTGGTGGAGGAACTTAATGGCGAAAGAGACAAATGGATATTGTTGGAATTTTGCAGTCTATTACTCATATTGTGCTTGTCAATTTTAAAGATTATCTTGCAAGTCAAGAAAGCTGCATATTGTCACAAAATTGTTGAAGTATAATCCTGTTGGTTCCCCGGCTGAATAAAAGACATGGTTCTACGGTGGCCGACAGGTGCAAACACATTACAACAGCTCAAAACACTCACATGAGGAGAAACACGTTGCATTTTAAAAGATGACTAGTAAAAACTAGTGCTGGGCAACAATTAAAATGTTGATTTAATTCAAAAGTAGTGCATTGCGCACTTTTATTTTAAAAGTACTGCTACATGAACAAAAGTTAACATTAATTAATGTAATCAAATCAAATATAAAACCAAAGCTATATGTATTTGCCACTGCCAGGGCATTAACGTTTATCTAGTTTGTCACAGAAGTTCCCTTCAGAGTCCAGAGATAAGAAAACTCAACCTGCAGTGGTTACAAAGAACTCTGATTATATCAACTCCCCCGTCTGAAGAGATGTAAAATGTCCATGTAAGAGTTCGGTACCTTTCTCCATGTTTCTGTCCCCGCCACTTCTTTCTGTTTCCGTTCATGTGAACGCTGCAGCAGTCTTAGGCCCGCCCAAAATGCTCTCATTGGTTGAGACCCGTGATGACGCCCATCCTAAGCCAATACTGATCAACACCCCACCCCTCCTGTGACCCAAGGTTTGTCTGTATGTGTATTCAGAGCCTGTGAGCAACGGACTTTCAAAATAATAATAATACAAAAATAAAATAAATAAGAAGTAATATCTACACTAACTTGACAACTCAAGCTCAGCATTTAGAAATAATTTACCCACTTGACGATTTCTTAAAACGCTTAATTAACGAAACGATGAAAATGAAAAATGCAACAAGAAGCTCAAAACACAACAGAAACGGGGACACTAAAAAGTGCCGCACATAGCTGGTACCGGAGCGCTTGGTGACGTTCTGGGATTATAAAGTTGGCCAACTGTCACTGAAAACGTACAGGAAATATTGTAGGCCTATTGGTTTATGTATAACAATGTGATCTCATGATTCCTTATGTTGCAGATCTTCTGTAAGATAGCTAGCTAACTGCTGCTTTTCCCCACCCACCTGGCATAATTTAATTTATTGATTGTCACATAAGAGGCCAAATGTTGTCATAAAAACTTTGAAAAGAACATCCAAACCAAAATAACAAGCCTGGATCTCCCAACATCATATCCTTTAATTATGACCCTATCCCAATCAAATTGCAGCAGACCTTCCTGATCGTTCCCAGCATTGAGATTGAGATACTCATGTACACTTTTCCTGAAACTTTTCCTGAAATGGGTCCAATCATTGTTCCTCCTAAATAGCTAGTGTCACGTTGACCTGTTCAGCACTGGTAAAGGGTGACACAAATACTCCAGATGTGGCTAAAAGTCATTTCAAATAGAGACAAAACAATTATGACAGAGTGCAGTCCATTTCTCCTAATGGAAGTGTAAGGGCTGTTGGAGCGCCTTTTCCCATCGGCCACTGCAGTTTTCCTACACATTATGATAACACAACATTCGGATGCGGATGAAGCTACATTACCCCGCTAACTTGTGTTGGTGATGTTTGTTAGACAAAATATGTAGTTCATTGAGCGGTTTGACTCTTGAGTTGCAAAATCATCTCTTAGTTTGACAAACATGATATATGAAATTCATGACATAATTCAAAGTAGATCAAAAAGATATTTGTCGTACCGTACATATTTTCCAAAAAATCAAATCCCATAGGGGAAACAGAAATTACTTTCATGGCTTTTTGGAGGTTCAATCATCAATATATTATCCAACTGCCATTCTGTCTAAAGACAAAGTCAGGAGGAGGACAGCGGGGGTTTTCCAATTTCTGATTTATTCGAGAACTTTCCGATGTTGCCAAAGAGCGGCGAAGCCTTAGGGAGATCTGCTATAAGCCTCTTTAAGATGTAACTAGGAGCTTTAATGAGATCTGCCAAAAGCACTTTATCACAAGAAGGAGACCCAGATGGAGTCAATAAGGTCAATTTAGAAAGAGAAACAGGAAAGTGAGCCTTTTCTTCATCTCCCTGCAGACCAGGGGCACACACTCAGGAGAAACAGCACAGAGCAATTATCTGTCACACAAAGGGTTATGGGCTTCTTGATTTTCTATATTTACATGAAATCCTAAGAAAACGGACATAGTTAAAAAATCTAGGCAAGCATTTTTGATCTTTTGGATTATAAGGAATACTTCAATATTTGTATCCTGTTTTTAGGGTGTTGGCATGTGTTTCACCTCAGGACATTAAAGAGGGAGTGGTTTACTACAGTCACAATTGTTTTATAAAGTAAGGGAGTAAAATATGTTTGGTATTGCACTTTTGATAGAACAAGATCATAAATGCTTGAGAAGAATGACACACATGTTTTGTTTTTTTAAAAGACCTTCAAGCAGTGACTGAAAGATAGAAACACATACAACAGATTTTGCATGTGCAGGTATACAATAAAATACTCAATGCAAGAAAAAGACAAGTTGAAGATTAGATTAGATTTGATTAGAAGCATTTATTGTCATTATATAAGTACAACGAGAAGAGTAAAGCTACTCCTTCGGTGCCATCAAAACATTCAGAATAGACAGCATAAAACAAAGACACGCAGCATTCATACATACATAAAATAATAACACAACATAAACTGCAGGAAATAATTTAATTAATAGAGTATAGTAAATATGTATGTGTGTATAATAAATTATTTATATTGCACATGTATGGGTTATTGCACATGAGGGGAGGGTTTGTGATGTGTTTTAGCTGCATCATAAAGGGGACTTAAAGGTCACATGTCATGGCCATTTCCACTGATCATAATTCCATTGTTGAGGTCTACTAGAATATATTTACATTGTGCAATGTTCCAAACTCACATTGGTTTCGCATACAGCATCTCTGTAAACTACGTGTATTCACTTTCTCCACTAAACGGCTCGTTGCAGCTCTTGCCCCCCCCCCCCCCCTCCCTGTGAGCCCAGTGTGCTCCGATTGGTCGGGACCAGTCGGGACTTTGTGAATCGCGCTAAGCTCCGTGGAGGTGTGATTTCCTTGTTTAGCGATACACAGCCAAACACAGCCAAACTCATCCTGAGCACACACAAAGTTACAGCCGAAGTAAAAACAATAAGTGTGGCTTGATATTGAGTAAGAAAAAGGTTGATAAACGCTGTGAGAATGGGTCTGCAGAGAGAATTTCGCCGCGATCCCAACTGTCTGTTATCAGCCTGCAGCCAGGGAGGAGAAATCAGCAGAGCTGCCTGCACTGAGTGTGTGAGGAAGTCCGTGGATTGGTCAATTTGGACCAATCAGCGGGGGCTTAACGTAACGGCTCCCCGGACGTAACATAACGGCTCCACGGATTGGTCCATTTCGTTCCGGGGACGACATGACATCATGATGTCCCCGGAAGAATCAAATGGACAGTGACGTATCTCCAACGAGGCGTTTTGGGGAGGTATTTTCTGTTTTAGAGTTTTACTCCCTACATGGTGTACTTTGAGGGTTTTGACTCTGCACACCGTTTACATGCATAAAAACCTTCATAACACACAAGGGGACGGGTACTAACCGGAAAAGCATGACATGTCACCTTTAAAGAGCAACTTGCAGGTTAGACACACCAGTGAATAAATGTGTAGGAAAATGATGTATTACTAGATTTTCAAAAAAATATACAGAAATATACGCTACAGTGACATCTGGCGTCATTTTCACTTCCGCATAAAAAAAGCCTCCCCACGTGACCTCCCGTGTGTGACGTAACATGGGGGAGAGCGGCCGGTCTAACGTATGAATAAACATGGGTCACAATGCTAGTTTTGACACAGAAGAGGTTGAAAATATATATTCGAATGCATATGATTATAATTATGAGCCTGCTAGGCGTCCAAGAGACCAGGAGCAGCCAAGGATTAAAAGAAATAACGGCCATCGGCGAGAAATGGAGCTGTGGTGTGAGGAGAACCAGTGGAGAACAGGGCAGCTGTCTTGGTGAGTGGCCGGTGTTCCGGATTAAAAATGTTGGATCGAAATGTGTATTTCAGTCGAAGGCCACGCCCCCCACCTCTCTAAACCAGTTAATCCGGAACACCAGCGTTAGCTACAGTTAATGTTAGCTATGTTAGCTATAGCTCGGGGACCTATCATGCAAAATGCACTTTTTGATGTCTTTTATACATAAATATGTGTCCCTGGTGTGTCAGGGAACTCACGCAGCGTCAGAAAATAAAACCCTCTCTTTTTTCCTCCGTACCCAAATCTCTAAAAACGGGGCTACAACTGAGCTAATCCAGATTTGGGTCCGATATGACGTAATATCTGAAATGTAGGCTGGCTTTACACCCACGGCCCTATCAGAAACGTTGCTATCACAAACAATGCCCGACTGTTTTGGACGTAATATGGTCGGTGCATGTTTACATTAGCATCGCTAACACTCAGAGCTAACCTGTACTGGAGAGCATGTGTGTGAAGAAGCAGGAAATAAAAAGGAACTCACCTTGTGGTATAACCGGCAAGAGAGAAAGCCTTTGAGCTCCATACTGTTTCAGAGATAATCCTTGATAATCTATGATATGGCGTTTCATCACCGCAGAATCTGCCGGTAGAATCTCCCGCATGAGCTCAGCCCCCTCCTTTTTTTTTAAATCAATTTCTCTTTTTTTTTTAATGCTTTATACCCCAAA